GAACAAAGAATTCGTGTGGTTAAATGTTTTCTTAAGATTAAAAAATTCTTAATACCTCAAGCAAAATAAATTATTAGTTATAAAGAGTAGTAGTTGTAGCCTGCAAATGAAATCTAGAATAAGAATTTTGAGACTATTCCGTTTAGCTCAAGAATATCTAGATTATTTGAAAAATAATGTCTAAATTAAGAAGCAGAAATTCTATTCAGCGCATCAAGAAATACTTTTACAACCTAAATGTTAGATAAATAGTAAACTGTTTAATTTTATATCCTTTTAGAAATTAGTAGGGCGATAAAAAAGTGAAAGAATTGATGGGAAATAATCCTTTGCAGCGTAAAAAGTTACCATCCATTGCACACGTTTCACCAGTTGAAAAAATTAAATCTGAAGATTGATTAACATAAAAATATTAATTATCAATGTTAGAAATGCATTCAACTAAATTTTATACTTTTTAACTAATGATATTCATAAATTTTATATGATTCATCTTATCAATGGATTATAATTTCTCAATACCTATGCTACCTGATTTTACACTTGAAATACTTGAACTTTATGGATTTTTTTGGAAATCTGTCATTATTTATTTTTAAATAAAACATCATAATTTATTATTTTATAGCTAAAAATATAGTAATTCAATAAATTTGATAGTTTATAATTCTATAGTATAATATTTTAAGAATGAACAGTTAAAATATATGATATAATAAGAGAAACAATCCTAATTCATTATCAGATTTATTCTAATGCAATTTTGACTACTAACCTTTTAAATAATTATATCTCCTAATTCCATTATATATAAAACAACAATGCATTTTTAAAGTTATTTTTATTGAATCAGATTTATTCATTTGTTTTTCTTCTGAATTTTCTTATTCAGCAATATGATCTTAATTAATAAATTGATTTTCCAATAGCTTCACTATTTTTTTGTTATTCTATTTAAGTTTGCGAATAAATTTAAAAAGTGTTAATATCTAATTATTAAATTTCATCTCCTATCTAATTATTCCAAATATAAACTATATTTTGTTAATTATCTGTAGCTTAATCTAATTCACAACCATTTTGTAAAGAATACAAAATTAATGCTTTTCAAAAATTTCCTCGTAGTATATTTATGAACCATCAAAAGAAAAACATAAATTAAGATATTCCCACTTTTTCCTCATAATAATTCTTTTCTTGTCCTAAATTAACATCCATTAAATGAATAACCACAAAATGCTAATCTAGTACTATCAGGAGAAAAGGAGATTATATTTACATAATCTAAAATTTCTAATTAAATTATTTCTTTTCCTATTCTAATTAAATATCCCACAAATTAATAGAACTATCATTACTATCCGTTACTCAAATAATACCCTCCAAAGTAAAGAACACTTCATTTACCTAACTTAAATTTCTTTCCAATAATTTTGTTTCTTCTCCTGATTTTCCATCCAATAAAATCATATAATAATCATCATGAGAAAAATTAAATTTAACTACTTATTTATTTAATTACTTAATTTGCTTTTGCTCTAGTTATAAATTAAAAAATTAACTGTTTCTTTAAATAGTATCTACAAAATCTGAAATATTAAAATAACAAACCAAACTATAAAGAAAATATTTGGAGATCAAAAGAGATTACTTTTCTTTGGGGTTAATTTTAAACCATATGAATTTTTTGAACAAATGACCCCCTAATTTATGATGTTTTTTGTACTAATTATTCAATAGGAAAAAAAAGTATTTAATCATTATGAAAATCTTCTATTAAGATTTATAATCCACTATTTTGAATAAATATTACATAAAATTAAATCTTTACGCTTATTTCCACAATGGATAGATAATATAAAGTTATAATATATTTACAGAGTTAATTTGATTTAACATTGGCTTTATTCAAATTACTTCTTCGCCTCACTAAATACACAATAAAAAGCAAAAATTATTCAAATAATGTCTAATAATAGATTCTTATTTAAATTTAGCTAGAAGGTATTCATAAATCAGTCTGTTATCAAAATAAACACTATATAAGAATAAATTCATATGAGACAGAGAGTATTGATTAAACTATTTAATCAGAAATTTCTTATGCATCTGTTCCTGGTCTAGATAAATTTGAAAAGTTAGTAATAGACATATTTCTTACTCATACTTTTAACCAGCCATTAATTAACATAAATTTTATAGTTTATTTTAAATCTTATTTAATTTAGCGCAATATCAATATAATAAGAATGTTATACATAAGCAAATTTTAATTTTATTTCAGATAAGCTAATGAATATTAATTATCCTTAGAATATCCTAAATTTTACTCCATTTCAAAAATTATCTAGAGAAATTTAAAAAGCAATGAAAGGTCTTCCAGTTTTTGTTTGTCCTTTTTGTAATTTAATGTAAACAAATGATAGTTATTTTAATCATGTACGTTGTTTTGATTGCAATAGAGATTTATGTTCAGCTTGTTCGGTTGATAGAGCTCCGATAATTGCACATGGCAATCATTATCATAGAATAGGTTGTTCTGATTATCAACCATTATATTTAAAGGTCAACAAATTAATAAAGAAGAATATGATAGGAAAAAATGTTAAAGATGTAAAGAAACATTAAAGCCATGTCAATACCCAATAAGTTTAGAAGAATATAAAAAATAAAGAAACTTTTGATGATTAGATCTTTAGTTTAAATGATTCAGATTACATAATATAATTACACTGACTATTAAGATCAAAATACATATATCATTATTTTATGAAGTAAAATTTCTTGATTTTTTTACTATTACTTCAGAACAAATAATCATTTAATTATCTTTTTTGCTCTTTATTAATAAATGAATAATCTTTCAGTCCAAATTACGAATAATTAAAAACTTACAAAGTCACTTCCTCTTTTTACTTAATAAACCTTAAATTAGAAATAGGTAATACTATATGTATAATAGATATCAATATTTAAATTATTCAGTCTCCAAAATTAATTGAACTAAACTATTTAATTACTAATTATATTTCTTATATTTCCAGATTCAACTTTACTTTTCTTTCCTTCAGGTTTTACAATTCATTCCATCTAATTATAAAAAGTACTAAATTCTTAATATTGAAAACTTCAACAGATTTCGTGATGGCTGATGAATAGAATGCTATTCAAATCTATATCAAATTTTATTTATAAGATTCTTTTAGTTATTTCCATATAAATCTGCCTTTTAAGATTATAGCTAATAATCATTCAAATAATATAAATAGCATTTTTCTGTATCCGAATTAAAATCCTTAAACTTTGTTTTAGCTATAATAGAGATTAATTTTAATATTTTACTCATTTAATTAGATAATAAATTATCTAATTAATGAATAATCAATTTCAAATGTTAATATATTTTATAAGAATCCATCTTAATATGAAATATTTATTGAGATTTTATTTTTAGAAGTAAATTTAATAATAAAATATTTTCAATTGAATATATTTTAAAAATTTTCTAATATTTAATTATTATTATTTATAATTATTTATTT